AAAAGTGCTTGCAAATGCAAAGTGACCATTTATTCACGGGGTGAATACGCTTACATTATTTTCAAAATCTACCAGAAGCTTAGTATCATCAGGAAGGTAATAATGTAATCTACCTTGTGAAATAGAAGAAAGTGAACGAATTGCTATGACCTTAGAGAAAATTCGTTATGAGCGTCAGCGCGCGCTGTAATCATAAATTTGGCCCACCCTGTACAGTAAATTTCTCATAGCTTATGAATGGTACGGTAACAAATTACATGCCGTATATGGCTCACCACCACGTGGACAAGTTTTGCCTAGATTTTGGTAAGACACCCTCCATGGCGTCAAAGCTCAGATGAATTGTGAAGTCGCAGGAGCAGCTCTAGAACTGAATGTGCTCTCTCATGTCTTCGCCTATACTTCCTCATTCCACAGCTTTACGCAGTTCACTATTTCACTAATGTTCCTCTGACTTTTACGATGGGCTGATCTAGCCCGAAGTCTAGCTCCCACACATCTTCGTTCCGTTTACTTCAACAGCATGGGTACCACTTCTTTTTGTCAAACCTACTTCTCACTACTGGAACCGACGTAGAATTTATCTGTTACATCTTCATATGAATGGCTGACTTCTCCCTTTTTTCATGGACGTCATCACAGAAAAAGTGCATATCTTCATCTATCGCTTCCAAACACTTATGTATTGATGGATCATGCTCTCATGTTTGCTTCCGCCTGTTCTTGACTGGGTTTGTCTTCACACATCGTTACAACTACAGCTATGCAGAAGAACTGCCTACATTCAAGGCCCCTCTAGCTGACCCGATGGTTCAAGAAACCGTGTAAGTGAGTGGACTGTGACGATATCGCTTTTGAGTAATTCCTGTCTATTTTCCCATGACATTGGCTGTACTCTCTAGCCTACTATCTCTCCATTCTCTGAGCTACTCTGTGTTGAAGATGCCTCAGATACTGATTCCGGAGAGGGACCGATGAGGCTTGATTCTGATGACCATTCAGATCGCCGCTGTTACTTTCAGACATTTTGTTCTGCATCATAGTTGTTCATGTATGTGATAGAGCAGCCCAAACTGTTCCCTTCACAAAGCTTACCCAAAGCTAGTAAGCAACACGTGGGTATAATAGAATCGGGATAGGTGCCGTCTAAAGGAAATGGCAGATGGCAGCAGGTGGTTGTACCAAGCGGTTCCTATCCGGGCTTGTATGAATGACCCAGTTGTTCTACCTGAGCTTGAGCCTGCAAGTCCTCAAATCTAATCTGTTGACCGAATGCTTTCCAAATACAAGTGCCAGGTGATGAGCTTTTGCTCAGAGTGGCTTTTTCGATGGGACTTGATTCCAAGCACGGGAACATCTCTGGTAACAATCCCTTTCTGCCAGCTTTGCTCTGTAATCGCGGACGTGACCTAATGTCTCACTTCCCCGCTACTGTTCTTTTATTAGAGACGAAGCTCAATGAAGTCATTGCTTGGCAGTATTCAAGTACCAGCTCAGGGACAAAAACATTTGGCTTGGCCAGAACCACGGCAGGCCTGGTCGTCGCAGTTCAATGCTAACTACACTCCTAATCTGCAGCTCATGTCCACTGCGTTGCGCACACCTTAGCCAGGACCATTTCAAGCTCTTTTTTGCTACTCTATATCACTCATATCTTAAAGAGGGTCTTATCGGTGCCATCTTCTTGCCTTCTGTTTTTTCAAGAAGACAAAGTGAGGTAATAGATGAGGTGAGAGTGATAAATATCTCAATGTTTTCTGTTCCTTGCTTCATGTTCGCATCGATCTCATTCATTTTCCAACGCCTTTTTATAGTCTGAAGATGAATCTGCGACCATGAATGAATGTGAAAAGTTGGAAAAATCCGAGCAGAGCGGTGCTTCGTGCATATTGTCATCTGTGCCCTGCTTACTCATTAATCTTAACGATGTTTTACCAGCCGATTGGACACATGCCCGTGAGAATTCCTCGGAGCCAGTTTACATCTCGTAAGCTTCTGAAACGCCTGCTGTGATGTCCGCTCCGTGACCTTTTGTTTCAAAAAAGAGGGTGGTGTATCAGTCAGGGTCCTATACATGAAATGAAATCTTAGAGTAAATGGTTCTTCAGTCTTTGCTCCTGTTGATTGTTTCGAGAGGTGATACCTCTAATAGAACCCCACTTAGCAGATAGCATTGCCCATCTTTTTTCTCAATCTTTGGTGGAACTAATCAAGCCAGTTCAAGAGCTGGCTGCTTTCGTGTGTTTCATACTTTTATCTATTTGCCTCAGCCAAATCACCCAAATGTCCTCTAACAAAAATGAATTTTCGCAAAAATATTTCGCTTAAATCTCAGAAAGTCAAGCCCACTGCATTGAATACAGTGTTGTTGAACTTTTGTGATGAGTAACTTTTTCCTCCAAGTATCAGTTTTGATAAGTTCCGCTACTGCTCTACGAGCAGAATTTCTCGGTCTCTCTTTGCCTCAAGTGAAGAACGGGGTATGTAAGGTGAGCCGTGTCTGGTGAGAAGTAACCCATCTTGTCTCTCAACTAACTAACTCTATCATTGTCAAGCCTCTTCTACTCCACTGATTCATGAAGTTGATTAGTATAAACGAAGTTCGAGAGCCCTTCATAACAAATGTGGCTTTCGATAATGGAGCCCTACATCATCCCTCTGAGTACTTTACTGAAAAAAGTTACTCCTGATCTGAATAGAATCGATTACGTCTGACCCCATCACTTTTATGCACTTTAAGTTTACCTCGTGATTTCTGATTCCTCACGACCACCCGCTCGCCCCAGCACTATAGCACAAGGTTCCATTAATTACACGCATAAACGCCTCAGCTAATCACATTAGCTTTTTGACGATGGGAGGTAACTACACGCTCCACCATCTCCCACCTATTGTCGTTCTCGGACACTTTTTGTCCTCCTTTCAAGCTCAGTATGCTTAGTTTCATTGCCCAATTATCTGTTCTGAGGACTTCCATTTTTTTCACAATGGTCAAAGGAGCTGCTTCTCGCAAAAGATTATTCTGAATTACTTTGTTGTGGAAATTAAAGTCCTTGTCAGCATTACCACTTGTTATCCTAAAAGCGTCCGTTAATGACTATAATATCACTAGCAAACGGGCCTTTTCACTGTTTATCCCCGAGTTTGAAGGAGGTCTTGGCTATGAAATCTGACGTTGAACCTTCTTGCTACGAACCTATTGCAATCATCTACCGTACTTATTAATTTATTTATTTCTAGCTATTGCTGCCACTATAATACAGGGAAATTGTCGAGAGAACAAACAAAAAATTTTCAAAGTGATCATTGATAAGAAAGCCATGAAAAGGTTGTGGAACTGTTTTACAATTTTGTAAATCTTTATTTTCAACTTCACTATTCTATCTATTATTATTATCTGAAGGAAACGGCAAATTGAAGAGCCTACCCTGATTTTATTAGGTCGTTCGGAAAGGGGAGACGGGCAGTAAGAACGGTTTTGTGTAATCGATCCGCCGCACGCGACTGTCGCGAACCATTCGCCTCGTTATAGCAGTTCTAGCGTTCTTCATACAGCTCAATCGCTATGCGATTATTACTTTTGGCGTGATCCTACTGTTAGTTCTTTTGTTCCTGGATTTCTTACTTGCTGCTGCATTCTGCTACATTCCCTCGCGCGCGATGTCTCTCTCGCCGCAACGCGAAGATTTCGTTCCTACTGCACCACACCCTTCGGGAAACATCTGTTAAAAATTTCATAATAACTCAGAGTTTTGCGGTCTGCCTCTTTCTTCCTCGCTTACTTGTAGTCCCCCCATGTCTGACACTTACTTCTTTACTATCGGAGCTTCTGTCAAGTATTTAGCTCTGGCCCCTTATAAGTTTGTGCACACCTGGTTCCAACGCTTTAAAGTAGAAAACAGAATAGACAATGAACTTCAATGTGATGGACCGAGTCCGATATCATGAAATCTCTGAAATCATGAAATGAATGAAATGTTCTGCTCATGCGAGTGATAAAGCCCTTCCGAAGCATCTTTACGGAAACTTACAGAACAGTGCAAAACAACTCTGGACTATTGTAAGATGCCAGATGCCTGCCTCGCATGCACATAATTTTATCGCTCTAGCTAATTGTTAGAGTTCTTTCTCATTCCCTCTCATTCATTTCATTTTTTCCCTTTCTGAAATGGACAACTTTTGCTTTGGACCGATTTAATAGGGGCGAATAAGACGTTCCAGATCAGAGAATGATTCTTGATGACTCACGACATTTCAAGACAATAATTACAATAATTTACGATATGCGCGCTAATTTGTATGATCACGAAAAACATCTGAGNTTCATTTTTTCCCTTTCTGAAATGGACAACTTTTGCTTTGGACCGATTTAATAGGGGCGAATAAGACGTTCCAGGTCAGAGAATGCTCCTCGATGACTCACGACATTTCAAGACAATAATTACAATAATTTACGATATGCGCGCTAATTTGTATGATCACGAAAAACATCTGAGCTGTTCAGTCTCACCCAATGCCGATGTTGTTTGCGACCCTCGTTTACGAGTATGTACATCTATTCGATGCGGGTCGGAGATGCTATAGAGAATATGGAGCACTATTATAGCCATTTCCACCCTTGTCCACTCGTGTCTCTCGCTTCGTCAGTTGGGAACCTTTCCCATTAACCATATCCGTACGTACATGCTACCTAAATATATCTACTGTATTTCTACAAATTTCGTTTCCAATCGGGCGCATTTCGATCGCTTGTATTCTGGTCTCACTTCCCCAGTTATCACCTTCAGATGTCAAAGTCGGTGTCCATACCGATAGCTCTAAGCGAGCTGAAGAGATGTTCTCTCAAACGGCTGAGTTCACGTCGAGAACGTCGAGATACCACTCTGAACGGATTCGTAATATCGGTAGCCAACTTACCAGATGGTGTTCGGCTGTACGGTATGCTTTTTGTAGGAGAAAGGTATAAGTAGGACTGGAACAGGGCTTCGAACGATATTCTTAGATAAATTCGAAAATTGAGTCTTACTCACAACTTAGGAACAGAGAAAACCAGCCTTCGTGTTTTGCGAGTAAATCGTTTTCAGGGACGGCGGCTGAACGAGCTGGGCTTTCGGTTGGTGATGAGATCCTTGCAGTTAATGGCATGGAGGTCGAAGGGAAGTCCCATGAGGAAGTGGTTTCTTACATACAAGAGGTAATTGCAACCTCTTTGCTCTGCTTCAGACTTGTCATAGTCACTTCCATCAAAGCCCTAATTTCAATTTTTATAAAAGTCCAAACTTTTGTTGCACTTGGTCTGTCACCTGGATTTCTGAATTATTTGAGACCTAATTCCCCCTGAACGATAGCACCCTTCCATTATATCTCATTATGAGATTTTGCAGAGCTAGTCACGAGCTCCCTTCATGAATATCCCGCGTAACCTAACCCATTTTGCTCAATCTGCTTAGGGATCCCCTGAGAATTGCAGCCGCACCTGCCTCAATCACCGAGCAATTATTCTTGTTCCTAAATACTGCTTTATACTGAATGGTTTTATAATGCTTTTCATTTACTTTGTAATTTCAGTGCATAAGGACGAGAATCATCTCCCTGAAAGTTCGCCGAAAGTCGATTGATCTCAATCAACGTAAGTCTTTTTCTTTTTTCCCTTTTCAGCGGAATTCGCTAGTGAAGTGAAAAAATACGGTAAGATCGCAGCGATTTTTGAAAAAGCGATGTGGTTTTCTCATCACCGTTAAACCCCTATCACCTTCCACCCCCCTCCTC